TGTTTAAAATATTCGCGTATATCTTATACCCCGTACTCGTCATCGTTACCCCTCTATAATTTCCGGGCTCCCTTCTCTCTCCTCTCTTCCATATCGGTACAACCACTCCTACTCTCCAGCTCTCTGGGAACCCTTCCCCTTTCCATACCCCCTTTAATATCTTCTCCAAACTCTTCCCAATTATTTCCCCTCCTTCCTTCCATGCCTCATTCTTTATTCCATCCAGTCCTGCTGCTTTCCCTCTTTTTAACCTTTTTATTTCATTTTTAACCTCTTCTATCCCTATCCCCTCATCTCCCACCCTGTCCGCTTCCCGTATTCTCTTTCCCTCCCCTTTTCTTTCCTCAATTCCTCCTAAGCTTTCAGTGAAGTACTTGACCCAGACCTCCATTTCAATTTCTTTACATACTCCCTCCCTTTTCTTTCTCCCTCTGTTTATAAATTTCCACGCCTCTGCTTCTGTCTTTATATTTTGTACCTCCTTTTCCTCCCGTCTCTTCTGTTCCCTCTCTTTCTCTTCACACAACTTTCTATACTCCTTTTTACACCGTACGAATTCGTCATACCTTCCTTCTTCCTGTTCTCTTCTGTACCTTCTTCGCGCTCTATTCATCTCTTTCTTTTTTTCTCTACACTCTACATCCCACCATGGGCACCACCCTATCCCTTTTCTCTTCCCCCCTTTTTTAAACTCCACCGCCTTATTAATTTCTCTTTCCAACTCTTCCCATCTCTCTCTCACCCCTCCCCCTATCCATTCTACCTTTTCTATTGCCTTCCTGTACTTGCTCGTACCCTCCTCTGTCCAGTCCTGAAATCTTAATTCTTCCCCTACCCTCTCTTCTTCCCTTTCATAATATTTCCCTAACTCTATCAAAATTGGCTGATGGTCTGACTCCCCCCTACACCCTACCTCAAATCTCCTTACTCTCTCCCAGGCTTCCCAATTCACTATACCAAAATCAATTACTGACCTCCCTCCTCCCTTCTCATAGGTCCACTCCCCCTTCTCATCACCTTCCTTTTCTCCATTCAGAACCATCCATCCTCTTTCTTCTATCACCTCCATCAAATCCCTTCCTTGCTTATTTACTACTTTATCTTTGGACTCTCTGCTATCTTCCTCCTTTGTTCTGTCTCCCTCTATACTTTGCCTATTCCACCCTTCTTCTTTCCCTATTCTAGCATTAAAATCCCCCGCTATCATTAACATTCCCTCTTCCTCTTCTTTAATCACCTCATTTAGATCAACCAGACATTCTTTTCGTCCCTCCCTATTATACACTATTACAAATCTCCACCTCTCCCTATCTATAACCACTTCCCTTTCTTGTATACCATCCTTCTCCTCATACCCAATCTCTCTTTCCTCCAGCTCCCTTCTCACTCCAGTCACAATTCCCCCTTTCGCTCTTCCCTTTCCTCCCTCTCTCCTGGCTGCCTGGCACTTCCAACGCCAACCTTCCGGCATTTTATCTTTCATCTTCCCCCACCCGCTTTCATCCACCCACGTTTCTATCAAACCAACCACATCAAAATCGTTCAAGAATTTCCAAAAATCCTCGTCCTTCTTTTTTAACCCTGCAACATTCCATACCACCCCCCTAACTCTTTTCCCTCCCCCAATACCCCTCCCACTCCTCGCCCTTTTAGTGGATTCCGTTTTTTTCTCATTTACACTGCAAGCACTCTTTAAAAATTCACTTCACCCATACACCCTCTTTCACTCTTCCATTCATACTCTTTTCCATTTAACCACCCCCTCCCAAACCCTACTTTCACACTCTTACCCTTGTCTCTCTCATTTTTTGCCCACCTCCTAATCTCCCTCTGTCTATCTCTTTCACTCTTCGTCATGTCATCATCCACATACACTCTCGATCCTCTTAATTTGCCTTTCTTCTCCATTATCCTTCGTTTATCATACATACTGTTCAATTTTACCATTATCATACTCTCTCTCTCTTTCCCTCTAATCATAAATGCATCCTTCACATTTATTTCACTCTCATTCAATCCTATTTTCTCAAACACACTTCCCACCATCTCTCTAACACTCCCTCCCTTTACTTCTACCCCTTTTATAACAATATTTAATCTTCTCTCTCTTCTTTCTTGGTCGCTATTCTTCTTCTCCATCTCTTGTACTTTTTCTTTTAGTTCTTTTAGCTCATTCTCTAATTTCTCTCTTTCCTTTTTTTCTTCTGCTCTTATTTTTCCAATCTCTTCCTTCATTTCCTTTTTTAACTCTCTCCTTATTTCTTCCCCTGTTTGTTCTACTTTTTCCATAATTTCTCGTTTCGTTTCATCCAACAATCTTCTCATAATCTCTTCCATTTTCTCCATTCTCCCTTCTGTCTTTTCTTTTCGCTCTTCTTTAAAATCCACGTTCACCATCTCAATCTTTACCCTCTGCTTTTTCTTATCCTTTTCCTCCTGGTCCGAATCGGAGTCACTTCCTCTATTGCGTTTCGATAAATGCAAAATAATACTGCCGCTCGCACTGCTATCCCTTCTCTCTCGCCCCAGGTTCTCCGCCTTAGTCGGTCTGCCTCTTCTTCCTTTCCCCGCTCCGCTCTTGTCTTCCCCCTTCTTTTCCCCCCTTCCCTTCACTACGCTTCCTTCTCCCCACTTGCCACTCAGCCACTCCTGCACCTTGTCCCCACCTTCCTCTACCGGCTCGCCTAAAGTCTCGGCTTTCTCTCTCTCACTCTCCGCTCTCTCATTCATTCCCCTCCTCACCCCACCTTCCTCTATGCTTATGCGCGTACGCTCCTCGACACCGCTCTCCTTCCCGAGCTCGTCCCAGCGTGCGCGCCGGAATTCCTCGCTGAATTCGCTTCGATTGCGAATCCCAATATATGCTTCCTATTTAACTTTCTCTCTCTCTCTCTCTCTCTCTCTCTCTCTCTCTCTCACTCACTCACTTCCGCTCCCCTGGAACTCCCGTTACTGGCGATTTCAAACCCGCGCTTGCGCGACCCGGCTTCTGGCCTCGTGTCGCCCGCTGTACATACAGGGCCCCGACGGATTGCCGCCAAAAACCCTCCTTCCGTCTCTTTCGGCCGATCCAGATGTTCTCGATCGATGTCGGATGCTGACACTTTGATGCTTTTAGGTTAGGATGCCCTCTTCGATATCACTCTCTCTTTCGCTCGCCGGGTTAACAACCCCCGTCTCGTCCTTGGCTAAGATCCGCCGCTATTCCGCCCTACCCATCCTTCCGGCTCTTTCGGCCGTCCCAGATGTTCTCGATCGCCATCGGATGCTGTCACTTCGATGTTTTTAGGTTAGGATGCACTCTTCGATATCACACTCTCTTTCGCTCGCCCTTCGATCAGAAAAACGAGCTATTTTTTTTTGCTCAGCTCAAGGGTTAAAGACCCCCGTCTCCTGTAACATAAACTCCCCGAGGGGCAAACTCTCTACAGCACCTTTAAATCCACTTTTCTATCCTCTACAATATAATGCGTGTATCACCACTCACCTCGCAACCGGAAGTCAATTGCATACTTATGTAATGTGTGTATATGTGCTTATATATATAATGTCTTTAAATTCATTCTCTCTCTCCCTTTTTTTTTCTTTGTTTGTGGTATGGTTAAAGGAAAAGATATTTACGAAACGCCAGGTATCAGTTATATATGTTAGTATTGTAGGCTTATGGGCAGGCCCCATCCTAAATCCAAGCGTGCCTTGATATTTGCATCAATATTTTGAAATTCTAAGACAGCCAGAACATTCTTCCGCTTCTCTGGTTATGGTCATTACTTTATTACAGTTAGTGCATTTTGCTTGTTCAAATATTGAATCCATATGAACTAAATGATGCGAGAACACGAGTAAATATTTGAATCTTAAATTGGCAGGCTCGTATTTATAGCAATTTTGACAAATTTTGGACCGATTACCAGAATGTTGGTACATCGGCTGGTTCTCCCATGTAGTGATACACCGGAGATTTGTTAAATATTTATAAGCATACCAGTGATGTTCCCTGGTTACTATGTAAGGTTCTGTCTTTTTTTCATGAATGGTCCGGCACAGATTGTTGCACCCTGGCATCTCGTATGTACTGTAACCGATGATCGAATTATTGCTTAGTTTCGAGAAAGAGAGGAAAGATTATATGCGTGTGTATGTATACGTGTATTTATAAAATTAGTTTCTATAGAAGCATATACAAAATACTTGAATTTTATTATAGGATATATATATTTTTTTTTTCTAAGATATATGTATTTATTTATTATTATTTATAAAACACATATGTGTATGTATTTATTTATTTTTCTCCTTTTTTTTTCAAGGATTTTGTATTTTTATTTTATATGTTACTTATTGCTAGGGATTTTGTTTAAGTATCAAAAAGGAAAAATTACGGTCTTAAAAATATCTTATAAATACGGTCTTATCCTTATCTTATTTAACTTATAATACACCGGGTATTGTCGGCACTATTTCGTCGTCGGTGTGTTGAGCGCATCCCATTGAAATGAGCAAATTTTTTAGGCTGCTCATTTCGTCTTCGCTCTCGCGCCTAGGTTCAAAGGTGATTACGGCGCTTTCGTCTGCAATACTCCTGATAATTCGCATCCATCCCTCTCTCCTTTCCAGTAGTAATCTGGTGAGATCCCTGCTTCTCCGGGGCCATCTCGACCTTGCTCCGACGAGGCAAAGATGAGCAAGCCCGCAAGGAACGGCTTGCCAATTTAGTTCGCGGAATCGATCCTCCAATACATGCATATCTTCAATTGGGCGCTGAATGATACGGCCCCAATCTCGCAGCGCGACGGTGACCATGTTTTTACTCTCGAGACGAACTACTACTCCTCTTTGCCATGTTTTTCCTTCACGGACAGCTACTGATTCATCAGGTAATATGCGATCAAGGTTTTGACGCAGGAATCGTCCCCTGCGTGCCATTCAGTGCGTAAGTTCTTCTGAGAGTTCCTCGAGGTCTTCACGGGCGTGTCCGAGCTGGACCCAGAAGTATGTTGGTAAGTTTACCTTGATGACCCTGACCTTTAGGGGCCCACGACTCAGTTCTTTGGTATTGATGCGTCTGATATCCATTTGAAATGTTGATTTTAATTTGTTTAATTACTATTTGGTTTTATATGAGAAATTCGCAAGCGGTTTGGATGAACAATGCGACTATTTTTCTTTATCCTAATTTTAATATTATTTCTGTTTAATATTTCAAGGACTTCATGAGGGCCAGTATACTGATCTCCGAATTTTCCGGGTTTAGGCCCTTTTAGTAGAAATACCCGATCTCCGGGTTTAAAGGTCTGAGGGTTAAGTTTTTTGTCGTAATGTTTCTTCGACTTAAGTTTAGCCTCCACTACGTTTTTATGAGCGTTTGTTTGTATAGAATGGAGTTGTGTGACAAGATTTATTAGGTAATCATCGTAGCTGGCTAGTTTATCGTCCGGTGCCAGGGATTCGCTTGAAGGAATTCTGGCTATTTTTCCGAAAACTAATTCATACGGAGTATGTTTTGTTGCCTCGTGTACACTAGTGTTGTAATTAAACATCGCGAGGCTGATCCATCTGTCCCATTGCTTTTGCGTATTTGCATATTGTTTTAAGTATTCTCCCAGTGCATGATGTGATCTTTCCAATGATCCGTTTGATTGAGGGTGAAAGGCGGTTGTGCGAAATTTGCGAATTCTGAATATTTTTGCTATCTTTTTCATTAAATCACTAATAAAATTTCTTCCTTGATCCGTCAATATAGCTTTAGGTGATCCTAATACACAAATAAATCTCTCTACGAAAGCCTCCGCTATTGTTTCAAAAGTTTGATCGGGCAAAGGTACTCCCATACAAAATTTAGTTGGTTGATCTTGCAATGTTAGAATATATTCGTTGCCTCTTTCGGTTTGCGGTAAGGGTCCCACAATATCCATGGCAACCTTATCGAAGGAGGATCCTGGCGTGTCTGTAATTACCATAGGTTGTTTGGTTTTTACTCGTACTAATTTTTTCAGTTGGCATTGCAAACATTGTTGAATATATTGTTGAATGTCAGATTTTAAATTCTCCCAGTAATAGTTGTGTTTTATTCTGTGATATGTTTTCGTGACACCTCGGTGTCCTCCAGTAGGCGAACAATGCATTTCGCCGATTATGACAGAACGAAGATCCTTAGGCGGATATTTTATTAATCCATTGCATATAATTAACTTGGTGGTTGAATCGATGAAAATTATTTGTAGCAAAGATTTTATGTCGTTCCACAGTACATTGTTAATGAAATCCGTTGTGAAATACTAATTGTTTCTATTTTTAGTTTATCGATGATACTACGTAAACTTTTTATTACCGTGGTGATTTGGTTTAAAGTCATCGTTGGACCTTCTCGTTGTCCTTCACTAATAGGCAGAGCTATGTGATAGTATTTTTTATATTTTACTGCCTTTGCTTCTCCTAAGATAAGCGGATTCAAATTTGGAATTTCATTACGTTCGAATAATTTTTGTGAACCCGAATCTAGCGGTTTCCCTTTGGTATCAACGAAGTATGCGACGTTATCCTTGCGTAGAAATAATAGATCGCGGTTAATATTAATTAACCGCGTTAATAATAATTAATATTAATTATGGTACTTTTAAATGTCTGAATATTAGTAACAGTAGGTTCTGTTCTTAAGTTTTTATTCTTATTATTTGGTTCTTGATCTTCATCTTCACTGCTTGCATCATCCTCGGTGTCGTTTTCCTTATCAGGTGGATCGTTTCTATCTTGTATCTCTTCAATTTCGTTTTCCTTTCCTTGTGATCTTTGCGATGATTTTCCTTGATGAATGTTTTTATTTTTTGTCTGGCTCCGAGTTTATATTTTATTATAAGTAGGATGGTCATGAATTAATTACCTCTCGGTAATTTGTAGTCTCGGCGGCTCACAGAGTTCCTCGTGAGTAAATGGTACTGAGTCCGTATTTCCTTCAGGTAAATCGTTATCAGGTACTAGAGAATCAATTTTTTCTTCATCGGAAAGATATAATTCGAAATTTTCGTCCTCTTCTTCCTCTTCCTCTTCGAATTCTTCTAACATTTTAGAAATTATTTCTGCATCGTTCGGATTGTTAGGGTTTAAAATTTTATTCTGATGGATTATATTGCAGGTTGCTTCTTTGAAATCTACAGGATTTCTGGATAAAGCATCGGCATTTACATTGGTTTTACCTGCCTTATATACTACGTCATATTCGTACTCTGCTAATTTTAATCTCCAAGTATTCTCATGTTCGCATCTTGTGCGTTTTTGAACCAAAGCAAGGGTTTATGGTCTGTAACCAGAGTGAATTTCCGTCCGTACAGGTATGGTCGAAAATGTTTGACGCAGTATATTATTGCCAAAGCTTCCTTTTCATATGTGTCGTATTTTATTTCGTTGTCAGTTAACGTCCGTGAGGCATACGCCACTGGTCGATCTTTATTTATTTCTCCCTGCGACAAAATGCCTCCTACGGCTATTCCAGAAGCGTCAGTGGT